TTGTGCGGGGGGGGGGGGGGGGGGGTGGAATAGGCATGGAAATCCTATAGAGTGACGGTTGGCTGATTCGGGCATCTGCAGCATTTTTAGACTTGTTAAAGACAAGTGCACTTGGGCTTTTTTTCTCCCCATGTAAAATGTACAATAGCAATGTATATAAATAAATCACATTGCGGGTATTCTAGTGCAGTGCAACCTTTACTTGGTCTATTATTGCAATCTCCACAATTTGGGAGGGAAAGTCAATTACGCTATGGACACATGTAGCAAAGTCTTTGTTCCTACAAAAATAGTTCCAGTATCATTATAGAACAGCTCCTTTGATTGATGGGCAGTTTATTCAACAAGCTCACCTGTGTATACCAACTTTTAAGGTGCCCTCTGACTCGGCTTGATGATTATAGGCTTATTATATGGGACAGAGCAGCAAGATAGAAAATATTTATTCCCCATATCATTTCCTAATGCAGCTAGTTATTTACAAAAGGCTTTGATGGCACAGCTTTCTATGAGTCTACAGTTTACTCATGGAAAGCTACAAAATCTTGTATTTCACTGGGCACAACATTGTAAGGCATAAGAAGTGACATTTAAAGGGCTGCTTAATGCACAGCTCGCGTTATTAAATACATTTGGCAAAATGTTTAGAATCAAAGAGATGCTACCAAAAAAAAAAAACCAGCCACCCCTTGTGGTTTTTCAACCCCCCACCTCTCCAGGAGAAGGGCCTGGAAAATCTTGCACTGGAGTATGGAAAATAAATTGATCTGGCAGGTAACTGGTTAAGGGGGGTGAATACTTTTACTTTCCCCACCTATAAACGAGCATACAGCCAAGTCACTCATGTTTGCATAGGGAGCTGAGGGGACATGGAGGACAATGCTTTTACCTGGATTCAGACACGTTCTCATAAAGGAACACAGTTCTTGATATCTGTGACTCTTAAGAGTTGGATTTCTTTTGCTCAGGGACGGTGTCAGAAAATCCAACACATTGCGGGTGATAAGGAATAGGAATAGACAGATGTAATATAAAGGTTATATATATTACATCAGTAAGGTATTGGGCAGGTAGAAGCTGAATGGGGAAATCTATTTTTCCATTACAAATAGAGGGAAAGGTGCAAAGAGGACAAGCTCTCACTAATAAGGTGAGAAGCAATGTGTAGGGTGTATTATCCCCTATCAACTAAAAAACGTTTCTTATTCTAACTGTTTTAAGCAGGCAACGTGCTGCAAATTAACTGTCCAACCTCTGAGCGATCTGCTTTAGGTTTATTAACAACTGTATAACCTGATCGTACCAAACAATCCTAACTGCCATGGTAGCAGGTACAGTGGGGGGAATTTATCAAAACTGGAGCAGACAAAATCCAGAGCAGCTGCCCATGGCAACCAAATGGCTTCTCTCTTCAGTTTGTTCAATTATGATTTGAAAATGAAAGAGAGAAGCTAATTGGTTGCCATGCCCAGATTTTGTCTGCTTCAGTTTTGATCAATTCCCCTCACTGTATATTAATTTGGGTAAATACATTCCGTAAAAAACTGTTTCCGACAGGTTGTAAGACTCGAGTACATTGCATAGTCCTATAAGGACCCTCAAAAGATATTATTGTTGGCCGGACATGAGCAAAGCTGCTGATGCCCACAGATGATTTAAGTTGGCAATGGATTTTTTGCTGAGCATTTTCAGTACCTGTCAATGAATTATGTTTCCTGGCTGCTGAAATCCATTGAGTGGCTGTGGAACATATTAGTCCTCTCCTTTTGCTTAAATGGTGAAGGTGGTTCTCAATGATACAACACTGTTGCCAGTGAACTATGCATCCATTGTGATTTCCTTTGCTCAAAATATCTCCAAAAGCAATGAGCGGAGTGATTTTGGCAAAATGACCACATTTTTCCTTAGCCTCTAATGTAAACATTAATATATATATATATATATATATACTTTGTAAAGCATTTTTTTGTATTTTATTATTTGATAAATGTATGCACTGAAAGAAGAAAATGAAATAAAAAAATTAAAACAACAGTACACAAATACTTGTCTACTGTCACTTTAATTGTTTATGTAGTTTTCATTTGATTTTAATTTTTTTTCAAACTCAAATAATAAAATACACACAAAAAGAAAAAACACAAAAAAAGAACTCTCAGTAGTCATTTAAAGTCCATTTGCACCTCTTTAAGGTCATTTCATGTCACCCCCGCCTTTGACTCCAATGCATTTCACCAAAATGGTGAAATTTCCTGAAATGTTTCACCAAAAGCAGTCTGTTTCACTGAACCCAACTTTCCAATATGAATCCATAAGCAGTGTGATCTTTGGTAAGCAGTACAAACCTGTCCAGTCTTATTGGATGAATCCAGTGTCTGTCTGATTAGTGTATCTGACTCGCAGTGTTTTGCCCCTTGAGAGTCAGTCTCTAGATCTGATGCCGCAGCCCAGAAGCACCTATTTGCTAGAAGCGCCCTGTCCACCAGCTGGGAGGGGCTTGCCAGACAGACGGAAAAACACTTGGCGCATGTTGTTGAAGCATTTTTCTGTCAGCTCTGAAACGTCCTCTTCTTTCAAACCTGAGATATCGATCTTCGGAAGAACCTCGACTTTGATGGTTCCTGGAAATTGAGGAAACAAGATACATAATCTGTGAATGTTATATTTTTTTTCTTTTTTGGCATTGGGGTTCCCCCAATTCCTACCAGACCTAAAGGGTCTGGTAGGAATTGCTGGGAAACCGCACGCTGGTTGTTTTTTTTTTTTACATCATGGGTCCCCCCTAACATTCTAAAAGGTCTGGTAGGAATTGGAGAGTGGAACCCCACGCTGTTTTTTTTCTGTTTGCTTGTGGTGTCAGAAATTAAAAAGAAACAAAGTAAACATGTAATTACACTTTTCTGCAACAAATTATAGTTGGTAATGATCATTAAACTCATCCAAAATTAACGCAATTTGGATTAATCCGAATCCGAATGCCAAAACGAATTGACTTTCAGACCCTAAACCCGAGAAACGAAAAAAAGGGAACATTCGAATTGAAACTAAACAAATTTTTTGCCGACTTACATGTCCAATTGATTCTCTTTACAAGGAGACTCTGCTGTAATTGTACTGTTCCATATTTTCAAGACTGTGTGCCATATACTCATATGCAGATTCTGGGTCTAGCCGCTGACCATATTTCAGACAGCGCAGTTATCAATCATCTTTAGTAAAAAATGTAGTGATAAAGTGAACTATAGTGAACTGAAGGGAGACAATGGAGCAGATTCACTAGGTGTAGAGGCTGTTCACTATGGAAAGTGAATGTTAGAAAATCAGGTAAAAACTATGCTTACCTTCAACACCCAATCAAGTGCTAGCAAAAATCCTATGTATGTATGCATGTATGTATGTATGTATATATTAGGGATGCACCGATATATCGGCTGCCGAAACATATATCGGCGGAAAATGGCACTTTTGGCTAAATACCGAAAAAGTGCAATTTTCCTGCCGATACATCGGTGCATCCCTGCTTTCTTTCCTCCCCGCTGAGCGCTGCTCTGTGTCCAAGCGGGGAGGAGAGAAAGTGACAGCCGGCCGAGCGCTGCGGGACAAGAGCGCTGTGAGCGGCCGGTGTCTCTCCTCCCACAAAGCTCGGCCGCCTATCACAGTCCGGCAGATCGGTGGGGGGGCGGAGACAGCACTGTCACAGGAGGCTGGGCTCTCCTCTCGCACCGCTCACTCCTGTGACAGTGTGGGTCAGAGAGGAGAGCAGGCTATAAACACTCAGCGATCACTGTCTGTAGAAAATTGTGGACATGGTATGGTTAATATATCCTCAAGTATGAATGAATGAAAGTGAGCTATATCCACTCCTGTTCATTCATAATTGTGGTTCTAGTAAACATACTATATTCTCAAGTTATCAATGAACAGGAACACTCAGTATAGAGGATTCCTGTTCATTGTTAACAGGGGACACAGAAAAAGAGATTGAGGACTTTGTGTCTCTGAGGACTCTGTGTTCTCAATCTCTTTTTCTATTTTAAAAGGGAAATATCAGGGGTCATACACACACACATATACATACACACACACACACACACACACATACACATATACATACACACACACATCACCTGATATACCAATATTTACTTAGCAAACATTCAGTTTGCAGGGTAAAAAGCCTCTATTTCCTCTAGTAAATTGACCTGAATGTCTTGAGTTAGTGACCTGGAACATGTATGCAGCCAGTTAACTCAGGGTGAGGTCTGAACTATTAACAGCAGTCTCTGGATTTCTTGCAACACAAGTTCCCTTTGAAGGAAACCTGTAAGAAGGAACTAGGGGTTGCCACTGCTGAAATCTTACAGAAAGTGTTAGTTTCTTGGCTGTCATGCTGATCCTATTGCTATAGTGCTTTCTAAGCGAGTATACAGATTGGATGTTTGGACTTTACTCTTACTGGCTGTACACTTGTTCCCACACAGCAGGTAGCCCCACTGCAAGGGTATTGATTTGCCCGGAGTTCTGATTTAAAGAAAACTAGGACCAGCCAGTCACATGTGTGTCCAGTAGATGGCAGCAGAGCACACAGCTGCCCTCCTCCACTGGGGTCCCTGAATATCCCACAGATCTGGTCCATCTGCCATTTCTGCATGAAGAATAATTCTCTGCACGTCCTTCCAGCAGCTTATAGAGCTCTCACATCCCGGGGAAGCCGATAACATCCTTCCAGTATAAAGCGGAGAGCCGGACAGCAGATGTCACCCATCACGCCAGCTTAAGACACAGAGCACAGCTTGTCTGATCTGCAAAGCCGCCCATGTCTACCTACCACCAGTGAAGTGGTTCTTCCTGCGGTCATAGAAGCTGGTGAATGAGGAGTACACCACAGGGATGATTGGAACCTGACAAGAGAAAGACACAGCACATTATCACCGACATATTGGGCAGTCCTGTAAAGCTAAAGAAACAGAAAGAACTCTGGAGGACTATAACCAAGATACCAGACCAGGCAATGACCAAACAGGGACCACACTTATCAGGGGTGCCATGATCGGGCAGTGTAGCTTCCACATGTATTTGCAAATGTGTGCAACTAAAACCTCTAGTTGAAACAAATTAGTGAGTTTTATCTAGCTAGCTAAAAAAAAACTGGGGGCCCCTTTGTATTCTTCTGTTAATCAGAAGCACACAGAGCTCCTGATACGGAGCAGATAGCTGGCACACTGACAGGAGTGCCATGAGCTACACAGGAAAAGCCGCAATCTCCCAGTGTAATCTGCAGGAATGAGCTATCTGTTTGACAGTCCTGCACGGTGCAGGAGACAGACGGGCAATGCAGAGTCAAAAGAGCTGCCCAGGTGTAACCCCCTACAGCACAGCACCCAAAGCAGGTGCCCTTTCTGTCTTAGACTGGCAACAATTCACACAAGTGTTTCATCTGCTGCGCCTCTTTTAACCTGTTAGTGTTTTATCTGTGGATGCAATTGCATGTGTACATAAAACCACATGTTGTACAAAATCTCCTCGTATCCAGAGCTAGTGATTCTGCAGAACAGACATTCCCAGCTCTTTCTATGCACACTGTGAAGCTGCACTGGGGCCTTCTAAAACTTAGGGGTCCATTTTTTACTAGGTGTACCTTGAGATGGGTGCTGAGACCTCTTTCACTGTTACACAGATCTGGGCACTGCTTACCTCTATCTAGCTGCCAATCAGTACACAGTAAACATGTGTTTTACTTGGCTATGAGTTACATGGCTGCCCAAAGCTTGGTCTTCGCACTACTTGTTGGATCTAAAGGAGATTGTACAATCAGAATGTATAGTGTATGGGCAAATTGCACTACTTAGATCTCTAGAGATTCATTGCAATGAGTAGCAATTGATTGGTAAATAGATATAACTTTTCAATTGCAGTATTTCCATTTAAAGTTCAAGGGCTAATTTATTTAGGCTCATGCCCTAGCAAAGTAACTAGTCAGGGACAGATTACCATAGGGGCTACTGGATCACCAGGTCCAGACCCACAACTGAAAATAGGCTTGGCCCCTTGGCAATCCGGGCCGACCAGGCTGAACACAATCAGGCAAAGGATTGTGTTCAGCCTCTTCTCCCCATATTGCCATCGGGCCAGGCCTACCTCTGATCAGGCATATTAGGAGGCTGCTCGGTGGGGCCTTGCGGGGCCCAACAGCACCAGGCCCTTGATGCTCCTAATCCAGCCCTGTAACTAGTTCATAGTAAACTGCTAAGTGAGAATTTCTTCAAATCAAAAGCCATCTGCCTTCACTACACAGATGTCTCACTTACAAGCTGCACCCCAGGCAAACAGCTAAATACACAGATACAATACATATACAGCTCTGTATCGATGGGTTTTTGGTCGATTCAAGCAGGATTTGCAGTCCCATACAATTCTATGGCAATGCAAGCCCTTTTTGAAGCAGGTCAAAGAAGGTCAACTGCAGGTCAAAGCCATCTGTCAATGGGTTCTAAATGATCTCAGAAGCTTCTCAAACTGATGCCATCAACACAAGTCAAAATGCATTGACAGAGGCCCTAAGGGAGCAGATTTGCCTGCCAAAGAATTTGTATTTCTTTCAATTACAACTGAAAGAGCAAGCAGCACACTGATAAGCTCATCTTATCACTCTAATCTCCCCTCCTATCAGCATGCTTCTTGATGGGCTCTTTGTGCTGCTTTTTGCTCCTCCATCTGAGCTCTGCCATACAGGGACAGCAAAAGGCTGACACCAAGTCAAATTCAGATGCTTACACTGCTTGCATTTCAAAATAAAAACATTTAAGAATGCATTAATAATAAAGAGCTGCCTTTTTGTGTCTTTGTGTATATCTTCCTGGAGTTCAGTGTTGGCTCCCTGCCCTGTGACAGGGTTAATGAATAAGCAAATACAGGAAGCCACCTTCAGTCTGAATTGCAGAGCAGACAGGATACATTTTTATTTGATGTGTTATATGGTAGCTCTGTGGCTGTACTCGGGGATGAAGCATCTACCTGTCATGTGGACTCTCTGCAGAGCTGACAGACTTTGTGACAACTAGAAGTTTATGTTTTTGTCAATAGTAAGGTTGCTCACTGGAGGCCATAACCACCAATACTGGCAACAATTCATTTCACTTAGGGGTCTGCGCAGCTTCATAATAATAATGACACTTGATTATTTCAAATTACGAGCCGACAGCAAACTAGAGTCAGGCTCAGTCCGCATCAATGCTGAATTTCCATTAGTGTTGAGGGTGGCCATGATTGCATATTTTATAGGTAGGGAGTAAGCTAGCCTTGTACTGCCTTTCTGTGCATCAGATGATGCAATTAGCATTCCTATTGAATGAGGTTTTACTCAATAAATCCTTATGAGTCTGAGCCGCACAGATACTGTATACAGGAGGAACGGCAGAGTACAATCACCATGTAACATTTCAAGTAACAAAACAAGACCTATCTTTGTAATCAGCAAATATGGCTGACTCAAGAGTTGAGTAGAGTGTAAGTTCCTCTGGTGCAGAGACTGATCTGAATGGTATAATGTTCTCTGTACAGCACTACAAAATGTCTTAAATAGATAATAAAAATGCCAATGTGTGCCTGGGATGTGATGGGACATTAGAGTGTAAGCTCCTCTGGTGCAGAGACTGATGTGAATGGTTCAGTATTCTCTATACAGCACTGCAGAATTGTGATAGCTATAGAAATGGAAATTAATAATAATGTGACTGTGTTGGGGACATTAGAGTATAATCTCCTCTGGTGCAAAAACTGATGTGAATGGCTCAGTAAACAGCTCAGTGTTCTCTGTACAACACTGCAGAATATGTCAGCGCTATATATACGGGGCAGAAAACCGCTCTGAATGGCTCAATGTTCTCTGTACAGTGCTGTTTAATTTTCTGACATTATAAAAATGGATGAAATGCATTTTATCATCAGCAGTCTGAGCTGTTGAGGCATCTTCACACAGATGGGTGAAATTCACACCAATACACGCTCCTTGTCTTGCCGGAAGGACGTGGAACAGGCACAAATGATGAAGGAACATCTGTGTTTTTGTGCTGGGCGTTTTAATATGCAAATTGTCCCCAAGAGCCAATTCTCTGAATTCTACAAACTAGACATGAAAATGACAAAATTACCATCAGCGGCATGAAGCTGGAGGTTATTACCTGTGCCTGCAGAGCCAGATGGAACGCTCCCTTCTTGAAAGGAATTAAGTCGCCATTGTTGTTCCGAGTCCCCTCAGGATAAATCCACACCTTCAACTAGAAAGAAAGTTTGTGATCACTGACAGTCCCTGAGATCAGAAATGACCCAGTGAAGGTAGCACTGAATTCCTAAGCAGCGTCTAATGAACGGAGAACTCGATTCCAATATGGAGCCATTCCTATCAGTGCTGTATTCCAGCCTATTTGTAATTATTTCACAACTGGATCCCGAGTTCTTCTCAATTGATCTAGTAGCTGATCTCTGAACAAGCTTGGTAAATATCAGCACAGAAGAGTCATATGATATATAATGTAATGTACTGGATCCCTCATTTAGCTCATCTACTGAGCCTGAAACTGCAACCCAGAACAAAAACGTATAAGAAACATGCTAAATCCCTATTTAAAAGCAATTCTTATAACTCGGCCCTCAATTTCCAAATGTCACCCGAGTTCTGTTATAGATCTATAGTTAATGCTCCTAACATAGTTAGATCCATGGATCATTATTGGTGGGCTTCACACTGGATCTCACAAACCTACTGCTCAGTACCAGACACCCGAGCTGGTTATAGAATTTGGATCCCCATGCTATTTTCCATAATGCTAAAACTAAAGTTTTAAGCCAGGTCCTGCCAGCTAAATCCTGGATCCCTCAGTCATGGCTCATAAGCCTCGCCTCCCAGTGCCGGTAACAGGATATCATGCCAAGGTGCCAAAAGCCAATTATTCTGACTAGGGATGTCCCGATACCACTTTTTCAAGACCAAGTACTGTCCCTCATGTACTTGCCAATACCAATTACCGATATTTTTTCTTAAGGGGACATGTGACATTTTTTCTAAAACAATACAGACTAATGATTTTAGGGCAGTTTCTCACCAGTGCTGCGTGCATTGGAGGTGACGGGTTCTCTTTAAGGTGACATTAGGGATCTTTTAGACCTCTAGTGTCACCTTTCTACTTCACTGGATTCACTGAATGTAAATACAGCAGGCAGTGGCTGGGAGCAATAGCCAGCCTGCTATTGGATAATTTAAAATTCAATAGCCAATAGCAGGCTGGCTATTTTTCCCGCCCACTGCCTGCTGTCAATCAGCAAAGAAGGGAACTGAAGACAAAGTTCTCAATCAGGTCCTCTGCTGATTGACAGCAGGCAGTGGGCGGGAAAAATAGCCAGCCTGCTATTGGCTATTGCAATTTAAAATATCCAATAGCAGATTGGCTATTGTTACAAGTGTCCATTCCTTTTCCACTTGATGAAACTGTTTGCTTTTGATGGTACATCTCAGTGTCAGTTGTCTGTGCTCCTTATGTGTTTAGTAATAATGCCCTCACCAGACATACACAGATGTTTTCCCTCTCAATGAAAGAAGAGAAGGTCCATTTTGTGTGAAGGAAAGATTAACAGCTTCTCTCCTCTTCACCCCCCCTGAGCACACAGAACGGACATTCTTTTCTTTCAATGAGAGTGAAAACTGCTGTGTACGTCGGGTGATTGCATTACACATAAGGAGCACGGGCATCTCACACTTTGTGATATATCACCAAAAGCAAACAGTTTCATCAAGTTGAAAAGGACGGACACGGAGGAACAGCAGCAGCTAATGTACAGGGGGGAGGGGGGCAGCGGGGGATTTCACAGCTGTAGTCTCTTCTGCCTTCTCGTGCTGGCTACAGAGGTCTGTGAAAGGGACACCGAGCTCTGCAGCCAGCACCAGCAGGGAGAAGAGACACTTCACAAATAGCACTTACCCCCCGCCATGCTGTCACACTTCCATCCGGAGAGGTCAGAGCGGAGAGGGAGCCTGCGTTTGGTGGAGACTGAGAGGTATTCTGGGGGAGGGGCTATGGGGTCAATGGCCAAAGCTAGTTAAAAAAATGTAAAGGTCCGGTATCTGATCTATGCATCGGGGCATTTTCAGGAGTACAAGTACTCCTGAAAATGCCCTGTATCGGCCCGATACCGGTACCAGCATCGGTATCGGGACATCCCTAATTCTGACCCCAGGTAGTCTCTAGATCATATCTGATAAGGTTAGCAATAGATTCCTGATCCCATTATTCTTATCATTGCATTGGACAGCAGAGCCAGTTCTTGATAGCTCAACACCAGATCCATCATCCAGGTAATGTGATCTTAACAAGGAATTATGGCAAAGCAGAATACCAGAGCCCCGAGCTGCATGCTATTTCACCGCTGGGAACAGGTTTTATTCTATCACCTTGGAGCCAGCATGCAGCCCAGGAGAATGGCAGCTTTTATCAGAGGTTTCCCACATACGCCTTCTGCTTTAAAGGCAGATCCCCTCTAATGCTGGATTGAAAAAAATTTTAATCTTCAGGAAAGGAGCTTGAAAATGTAATATTATTTGAAATATGCATCTCTCTCCTGAAAGTTATAACAAAATGTGTACCTTAATTTGATAGAAATCCACCAATACAATGTTATGTTATCTTTCAGGTTCATTTAATGAGTAGTAGTTTTGGGAGGAGCAATTTCATCACTGTAAAAAAACTATCATAACCTATGAAGTAATCGCAAATTTTAATGCTCAACCCAAAGGGCCTATTTACATCTTGGCACTGCGACAAGCGAGTTGTGGGGTGGATGGATTTTCTGCTGTATCAGTGTGTTGGGTTGCCGAACAGTGGCGTACGACCCAGGCGGCCGCTATGGGGCCAGGGCACAGGGGGGCCCGGCCAGGGCATCCCTCTGATGCTGTGGGGGTCGCTAAGGCATGTAAGGGTGCTGGCTGTCACTGACACAGCTCCGCAGCGGCTGTGAAGATCATCGACAACCTGTCAGTGATGTATGTGGCGGTGCGTTTCCCCTCACAGCCGCTGTGGAGCTGTGTCAGTGACAGCCAGCAGGTGCGGCAGAAGAGGCGGGCGTTCGCAGTGAAGGAGGAGGGGGGGCCCGCCTAAGAGCAACCCCGCCTCCTCTTACATCACTGGCCAGCGACCTAAGAGCAAGCGGGGCCCGCAGATAGAAGAGGAGGCGGGACCCGGGGACGGAAGAGGAGGCGGGGCCCGGTGACCATGGTGGCGGACAGCGCTGACAGGTAAGAGGTGTGCAGCCCATCTGAGACCCTGCAGAGCCCACTATAGATAGTCTATGGTGGGCTCTGCAGGGTCACTCTCAGGTGGGCTGTTTGGTATATCAGGTGGGCTCTGCAAGTGGCATAACTAGCAATCACGGGGACCCATACAAAATTTTGCTATGGGGCCCTGTGATTTCTAATTTAGCCCCTGCATTCAAACGTGTCTTTTAACATATATTACTGCAATGCATTAATGTGAATTAACAGGTTGAACTCAATGGTCTTTTTTCAACCTGACTAAACTATGTAACTATGAATGGGCTCTAAACTCTTACACTGACCCTAACTATTTACACTTTTGAAATCTCGCCAATACCCATCATTAATAGAATCATCATGGCAGTGCTAAAAAAAAAAAAAAAAGCACTGAATCTCAGCCGAAAAGCCAGATAAATCACACTTTCACATTGCCATGACATAATCTGCAGCAATAAATGTGCTTTCCAAATTCATTTGTCTTCCCATAACACAAATTATATGTGTAATTAAAAGGCGCTGTCATACTCACCTGCCCATTAATAATATATGTAATAATTCACCATCCTCTGGGGACCCCCGACCTGCTCTACCATGACGCCTGAGAGCCGCTGAAGTCAGCATTTTCTAGGAGAGGCTCAGTCTGTTAGACCATCCGCTGAGACTGAGTGTCTCACAACCGCCACTACTTACGTTGTCATCTGTCATAGCCCGGGCTACTGCTGCCATGATGGACTTAGCATCACTTGTACGTTTCCGGTTGATGTAGATGACCCCTCCGAGATAAGTGATGAGGCCCACAGACCCTGCAAAGATCAATTCTTTCTTGGCGATCTGCACGCATCGATCTGGTAGGATCTCCATCAGACCTTATGGATGAAATAAAAATAGGTTTTAATAGAGAGAGTATTTACAACAGCTACACATGGAACTATAAAGTATGTTTATAGCCTAAACTTAGATTTTTTTTTTCCAGTAGGGAATAGTTAGAACCTCTGAAAGTTTATTTTTTATGCCTGTATCATCCCCAATGGGGAGATCCCCTTGCATTTCCTGTCCCAGAGATATATTGTTAACAGGAAGTGAGAAGAAATTTGTTCAATATGCAGAGGAACTCCCCTCTTAGACAGATGTCAAAATTCAGCAACAAACCAGTTATGAGAAATGTATTAAGCTTATCATATCTTATAAGTGTGTCCAATACACTCTACCGTAAATAGGTGTGTACTGTGAAGAAGGAATTCAAAGTGTTTCCTCCCAGTTTCACAGCTTGTAGTGAAATGCAGCTTACACAATGGTTAATCAGTGTAGCAAACCTACATAACTGTCTTCCTCGCCTATGGCTCATCTTTCTGGCACAGGCTTGAGAAGAAATGTCCACTAGAAGTTTGAAGCAGGTACAGGATGTTAAAGTAGCACTTTTCTTAAAGAGCACCTGTATTGCTGGCACAAATAACATGCTACAGGGGGCATGCTATGAGTAATAAGGGTAGACATTGATTGTAGGGTGATTGGAAGTCATGTCTCCCAAACCAGTGAAATGTTGCCCGCCCTTTATTGCTAAACTTCATACACGTCACACTTTATTTCTGATACAGCTGAGCCTGTCACACCTTTCTTCTGTAAACTGGGATCCAAAAATATTTTGGGGGAAAACACTGTAAAGACTTTCAACTTCAGTGCAAACTGCAGTGAAATAATACAGGGTTAGTGCATCACATTCCACTAGTGGGTGTTCAGGAAGCAGTCACCTTTAAACTGTGACATACAGTATATCTAAAAAGTATTATATTTTGTAGCTGTACTGGAGAAAGGGAGCGTCTCTCTAACACTGGCACAATGCTTCAAGATATGAAAAGTCTGGAAAGACGCATATTCGAAATAAAACACATTCTTCCCGCTGCTGGAGCTAGCAGGCGGTCTGGACGACGAATTCACAGTCAGGAGTGACAAGTTTCAGGGCAAATCTCAGCCTATGTCCAAGAACTGTTAAAAGATCTAAGAGGAACGAGGTGCTCCTGACACTGGCTGGCTAGTAAGAAAAATAACCGTGGAAAAGTGCTAATGGGGAACATGCTGATCTGGAACTTGTCCTGGCGGGGGGGGGGGGGGGGGGGGGGGGGGGAGGGGGGATGGGGGGGGGGGAGGGGAAGAAGCTGCATATACCTTATAAAAATGAAAACAATTATTATTCTCCAGTGTAATAGTGTAATAGCACACAGAGTCAACCTGCCAATTGCATTCCTCTGCAATTGTAGGCGTACTCTGACGAGACAACACTGGAAGCTACAGAAAAAGAGTCAATTTCTACATTTATTTCCATGTGGACAGATTACAGAGAATGGGGTTAAGCCATCACCTCAAGAGACTTGGCCGTTGGTGCCAGGGGGTGTGTTTGAGCCCTTCTAATACTAAGGAACATGGACTGCTGCTGACTGATGTTGTCTGCTATAATGCCTTTCAGATGAACGTTAAAGCATGATCCACAGAAGGATCCGGTTTTATTCTAATTCACCTTTTTTACATTAAATATTGCTTTACACAGATATGCCTATTTATAAAGTTGCCCGCTGCAAATCCTCCTCTCCATTAACTATATTATAACAACAGTAAAAATAATGCAGCAAAATCCATTTTGTGATGAAAGACACGCGAGTTTGCCAAAGTGTTTGCTTCAAACTATGCTGCGTCACATTTGAGGTTGCACTTATGTTCATTTTAATTGCCCTTCTTTTTATGGTGCCCCAATCCTCAGGCAGGAGAAGCACAAGACTGAGGCCTAGGACCCTGAAAGCACTCCTGCACTCAACAAAATGATTGATACCCTTTTTTTCTTCTATTAAAAAAAACAGTATGTATGTTATAACTTTCAGGGCTACTTCACACCAGCTCCAGTGTGTTCCGGCCCGATTTAGTGCTGGAACACACTGGATCGCATCCCGGCCAGCTCACTGCGTTCTGTGGTGGGAGGGGGCGTGGCGGTGCATGAAAGTCAATGGCACCGCAGTGTGATTGCCTGCACCGGAACGCATGGCAAATCAATGCCTGCATGCCGTTGCTGTAAGAAAAAATAGTGCATGCAAATGGAGTTCCCCTTGGTACTATTGCATCCCTACTTAATAATATAATGTATTGCTGGAACTTGTAGTCATGCATAATTGGTGCTATTCTGCATTACTGTATAATCATTATACAGCAATGCAGAATACCACCAGCTATGCAGGAGTACAAGTCCCAGCAATACAGCAATCTAATGTAAATAATAACAATAACAGAAGCTTCTTTCCCCCCCGCAACCACACACACACACTGGTGCATCCCTACCTAATAATATAATGTATTGCTGGGACTTGTAGTCCTGCATAGCTGGTGGTATTCTGCATTGCTGTATAAGCATTATACAGCAATGCAGAATACCACCAGCTCCCAGCAATACATTCTAATGTAAATAATAACAATAACAGCCGCTTCTTACCCCCCCACACCGGACTTACCTGACTCCTACAGCTGCTCAGCTTCCTCATCTTTGGCGGCCAGGGGGCGGGGCTGAGTGAAGAGGGTCCTCTCCCAGCTGAAGAATGTGCTGCCTGGTGGTGCCTGCTGTGTCGGTAGCAGAGAGTGGAGAGAGTGGCGCTATCTGGAGGGGGGACAGCATGAGGAAGCTTTTGGCCCCTCTGCTTCCTCTCTGCCCCCCCCCCAACAGGCGCAACGCCAGGGCCCGGTCGCAATTGCGACCGCTGCAACCTTGGTAGTTCCGCCAGTGTGTTTACATGACTTTGGTGGGAAAACTAGAAAGCAAACCAACAAGAGCAGCATAGTCAACAAAGCTGCAAAATTAGTGGAAGTGTCAGATTTCATGTGCTATGCTGTGTGAGAGAAGTAAACACATGCAGCCAACTGTTGCTACTGCACAGATTAGCTTTAGACTAATTTCTACAGGAAATGTGATTTTGATAGACAAAATGATGATAATAAAAGCATATAGATGAATTTTTAATTAATGTGTTAAAAAATTTTTTTGTCACAACACTTTTTTAGTCACAGCACCCTTTAAAAGTATGCAAAATGTTGAGGCACCCCAGTGTAAAAATTAGCGATGCACCAATACCCGTTTTTCTCTATCGAGTACCGATATTTATCTTTCGGTACTCGCCGCTACCGAAAGCCAATACCGGTACTTCCGCTAGCATGGAGCCGGTTATTGTTTTGGCTGAGTCCATGCTGATTGGCTGGGAAGCCGGCTTTCCAGCTAATCAGAATGGAGCCGGCCAAACAGCATGGAGCTGGCTTCCCGGCCAATCAGGAAGCCGTGTGGCGAGTCATTATCTGCCGCCCGGCTTCCTGATTGGCCGGGAAGCTGGCTCCATGTTCTCCCTCTGATTGGAAGTTCCGGTATCGGGGTAAGTACTGGAGCATTTGGCAAGTACGAGTACTCACCCAAATACTCGGTATTGGTACTATCCCTAGTAAAAATTTCATGGATTTTAAGGGAGACTCCATGCAAAGACACATCAAAAAGTGGGTTTCCCCCTTTAAATCGAAGTGTCCCCTCATATCAAGATTCCCCCCTTTGCCTCAGAGTCACCCTTTGCATCAGTAGCCAGTTTTAGCCACCCTTGAAATCAGAAGCCCCCCTTTCACATCAGACGCCCCATTTTCACATCAGAAAACCCCCTTCACATCACAGTCCCACTTACCACAAAATCTTAAAGCACCCCTGAAGCCTGGAGGCACACGGCACCCTGGTTGGGAAAGGCTGGTCTAAGGTGCCACAACCACTTTCCACAACCCCTTTATGGACAGAACAATCAGCCATTTCTCTTTATAAACTATAGGATCCAGTTCTATTCTTCCTCTGCATGTGAAGGGGTTAGGCAGAACTATTTTTAAAAAGTTGGATTGTTATTAAGCATTTTTAATGCATCTTTAACAAGCTCACTCTGATCCATTTGCCATCTAACGACGCAAACCCTTTTATTACAAGTGGAATGTAGCTCGGCAGAGAAGAATACTATTCAACAAAGCCAATGGCTGTCGAGCTGCAAGCTACAAAATGGAGAGAGGGGTGATTAATTAGAGGTGCCGAAGACAGGACTGAATAACACTCCAAGACAGGGCTATGGTACAAAAGCATTGCTGAAAGTTTTAATACGTTTTCATGTGTTGTCAGCCCCTGGTAACAAGCTCATCTCCTGGATAACTGCCATGTGCTAACACACTGCCTTAAGAAAGATGGCTGCTGTAGAGTCTCTGTATGATACAGAAGCTCTCATCCGGGATGTGCACAGCACCCCCCTCCCGTAAGACCCCTCCCATCGTCACTACAAGGATGTAATATATATTGTACAATATAATAATAAATCGACTTTATTTGAATATCTACAATATAATCAGGGCATCTTGTTGGGTCACGTGAGGGGCGGCAGATGTAGAGAAGTACAGAAGTACTGTGCAGCCCCTCCTGGTAATGCGTGCCGCAACACCCAAATACCTCCCCCCAAAAAAATGTGCACTGCTAGAACCCCAGGGGGCAAACATTGAATATAATAACCAGAAAATGGACAAAAAAGGACACAGATAGATGTGAAATGGGCCTAACCTTTCCTCTCTTCACTGAAAATGTATTTTTATGAGTGTTCCTGTGAGGGAGATAAGGAAAAGAGAGTCACTGGCACTGCAGCACAGATGCATAGGGTCACTTCATCAGGCATCACATTGTTTGCCTGATAAAGGGACCCTATGAGGCCCCGAAACGTTGTTTGCTTTGTGATATGATAGACTTGCATCAATAAAAGACAAAGTCATATTACAGTTGGAGTGCCAGTGAGTATCTTCCTTATTGCTTTTAAGTGAGGCGCCATCCGTTTGTCACTGCAGCACCCTCTACAGACTTTGGGATCTACCGGTCAGAAGAGCGATGGCATTATTATTATTGTACAGGATTTATATAGCGCCAACAGTTTGCGCAGCGCTTTACAATATAAGGAAGACATTACAATTACAATAAAATTCAAGACAAGATGGTACGGAGGACCCTGCCCGTGAGGGCTTACAATCTAAAAGGTACATATAATAGTCCGGTAGGGGAGATTGCTCATCACTTCCTGTCCCATCCATACTTCTGCTCCCTGACTACTGACTATGTGTGTTGTGTATTCCTGGTTGTTTGACTCTGTACAGAGCACACAGGCCACACTGAAATGTTTTCTTACATCATTAAGATGTAATCACATTGTGGCCATAGCACACGCCATGTTGAAATCCTTACAGTGCCACTTCACCAGGACAAAAAGCGCTTCTACCGGCTGACTCCATCCAGACTCCACTCATCTTTATTTCCATAATGAGACACAGATTAAAATATCTACAGCTAAACAAAGCCGCCAGCGCGCTCAATCGCTCCCCGCGGTAAATTTCTTCTTATTGTTGCTGGTGTCGGTAAGAAAGGGATAGAGTGAGGAAAAAAAAGGTCTTTTTACAAGAAAGCAAAATGACTTTTTAATCGTTTATTATTAGACTCTGCCTGGCGGTGAATATTTCGGGTCTTCTTAATAAAAACAAAACCCTGTTCTGAGTCCAAAAAAAATCAATAGTTTCTGTACGTATCGCCTGAACTGAGACGGCGGCATCGCACTCCCGAGGCTCATCTATTTTAATCTGCTGGACGGTTAATATTTTAACTGCTTGAGCTGACCGAATGAATCCTCGCAATCTAATAAAGGTGGAGGGAAATCGAGAGCGGAAGGCGAGGTGATAATATATGTGCTGTATATGAGTTATAGGTGAGGTAAGGGTTCCTTATTGGATTGGGGAATAGGAGACCGGATGATGCCGCGCAGCCTCCAGTTCGGAATTAGAACAAGACATTTGGAACATTTACAGAAGGGTGAAATAAAACATTATTTTCATTTTCAAGATAAATGTAAGTCTGGTTTATTTCCTCCCGTCGTCGTGCCTGCTGAACCGTGTAAAGCAAAATCAAACTGAAACATGGTAGACATCGTTTTTACATGCTGCTGCTGTTGCTGAGTGGTCAGCAGTGGCAATTGAATAGCTTTTGGCACATTTAAATAAGAGGTCAGTACACAAAAATTATGTACGAATTTCAGGTGCAGTCATTCCTGCCTTAGGTCCTGGCTTTCTGTCTTGTTGCCTGTTGCACTAGTTTTATATTTAATAATAAAAAATAAAAAAAAACTAGCAGGGATGGTGGAAATCCTTTATGATATAGAAAACCAGCATATCAAGTAACTTCCCAAGTATACAAGCTTAAATGTCCAGCTACCTGACACACTTTACAATTATGGGACCATGCTGGCTGCTCACTCTTTTTTCAATGAGTGATGAAAAATGTATTAATGCTAAGCTAACAGCCACCATACCTGTTTAGATGGCACCTTAGCTTTCCTGCTATTGTCCCCAGCCTGATCCATGCTTCAACCCCTGAAAATATCATTACGATTAGACTATATTCTATGGCTGGTACTTGCACTCTGCTAGGCACACTGGCCCATTGTGAAAGCACTCGGACATGCATTTCCAGAGGTCAGAAGAAAGGTGCATGGTGCTACATTCACAGTGTTCTCACCAGACATGTAGTGTGGACCAGAGGCAGAGTGGAGCAGAGAAAGCTAAATAAAAGTACCAGAGGGTGCCTTTCTATGCATCATGGAGTTAGTTTAGAGTTCTAGGCTAGCCTGACATGAGACAAGTGGGAACATTGCCCACTTTCCTCAGAAACATATTCAGTCATCTATGGTCATCCTTACCCATCATATCCAGAATGCTCTGGTGGTTGGAGATAATGACACAGGGACCGTCAATCTGAAAGTTTTCCAATCCTTTCACCTCAAAACGCAAACCAAAAAAATATTTCATAGTGCGCACGAAGACCCGGATTATCCTAAGAAAGGAACAGATAAAAGAAGCTTAGAACATAACTATCATAAAAATTCACACAGACACATGCCATTGGCTGCTTGGAGCATTGTTAGTGTTTTGCATCATTCAATTAAAAATGAGAGAGTCTATTGTTCTTAAGCAAATATATATATATATATATATAT